ATAACAATATATAACCGGTCTTTAAGAACGTCTTGATCGACTGGGATACAAACACTCTCCTTGCCTCCCTCTCCGTCTTTTCCTGGTATTTCTGGTTCCCTGATTTGTTTTCTTTTCCCCGACATTTTTCAGTCAGTCAGTCTCCTGCTCTTCCACCAACTTCATCGTTAACTACAGGCTGCCGCCTCAACTCTGATTGGTTCTGTTCACGAGCTGGGGCGGGACTTACAATTTTATTGGGTCCATCTGATGTTTGTCACTGACTCTGACTGAATAATTAATACATACTTTAGGTCGGACTAAACCATTTTTATGGAGGTAAGAGAAGCAGATATTTGGAAAAATATTTACCCAAATTGCACGTTTTTGTGGTTTTCATTTAAATCTCAGGCATACAACTAATATAAATATTAGAATTATTCATACTACAGGGGCCTAAATAGTATAACTGCTGGATTTTGTGGGGCCCCCTGGGCAGCGGGGGCCCCTATAATTGTCACCACCTTTCACCCCACTAGCGACGGCCCTGATTACGTCAAAAAAACTGTGGTTTTTACAGACTCAATGACACTTGGGGGGAGTGTAATATATGCCTCGCACTTAAGCGCGCACATTAAGCTTTTAACCTAATGATTATGAATGTGTCTGGAAAAAATAGCAAGGAGACATTTTGATTGTTTATTAATAAACTAGTGTTTTCTGATTCAGTGTTGGCTGCAAAGATCTTGACGATGCTGACTCGTCATCTCTGCAGTCTAATGAACGCACACGTGCCTAGAGAGAAATGCACATTTCATTTGGATTACATAATCAGAGAGTATTTGTTTGCGATTCGAATTGGTTAGTTTAAAAGTAGACATTTCAAGCTTTCTATAGGCCTATTTCTCATGTCTGTGAGGCAAGTAGCCTATACGCTGAGTTTCGGTTCATTTATGTGATGCGCTCCAGTTCTTCTTGCAGTCGAAGACGGAGCAACTTTCTGCTCTTAAGTTTATTCCGTGCACTTTCAAGTGCTTTATCAGATTTGTCGTGTTCTGGTCTCGGCAGCAATTATCTTGTCGCAAATATTGCATTGCGCGCTGTTGGCATCGACACTGCTGAAATGTAGCAACACTTTTGATCTTTTCCACATCTTTTCCATCTATGGGGGTTGGGACGCTTACACACTACAGCCTCACGTGTGAGCCACGTCTCTGGGTGTAACCGGCATAAACTAGTGTTTTTCCTTGATGCCTAGCCACAGCCAATCATGCAGCATGCTTATTGGCTCACTGACGTTAACGAGATTTGGTACCGAACGACAAGACATTTTTGATACTCTATGGCAGGGATGGGCAACATCGGTCCTGGAGGGCCACTGTCCTACAGAGTTTAGCTCCAACCCTGACAAAAATCACCTGCCTGTAACTTTCTAGTAATCCTGAAGACCTTGATTAGCTTGTTCAGGTGTGTTTGATTAGGGTTGAAGCTAAACTCTGTAGGACAATGGCCCTCCAGGACTGAAGTTGCCCATCCCTGCTCTATGGTATCAAGGCAATTCGATCAGTGCCTAAAAAGTATCGAACTCGATACCCAGCCCTAACTGCATAGTCTTCACTCTATAAATTAAATATAGATTAATCTATATTTATACATAGATTTATTAGGCTGCTGTCACTTTAAGAAATAATACAAGGATACAATATACTGTTTACACATGCAACTTATTTCCAAACTGTTTATGTTCACTTAAGACATTACCAAATACTCACCAAGCTGTGCATTTTCAAATATTTCTGTGTGTATTTGACCATTTAGGCGCTAAGCCTAAACAGAATTTTAACTCAAAGGTTTCGCTACCTGGCCATCCACCGGGGGAGAGCAGCTCCACCCATCTCCGGGTTGCCCAGAAACCACTGACAGGGAATTGCAGCCTGTAGTTTGCACTCACTCTCATTGAAGGCACAACTCTTACCAGCTGTGATAACAGCCTTTTAGCGCTCTCAGACAGCGCACAAAACTAGCTGTAAAACCAGCTTTTCAGCGCTCTGAACAGCGCACAGTTACCAGCTGCGAGCTGTTTTTTTCTCTTTTTTTTGCTCAATGAAAGTCAAACAATAAAAAAAAAAAGAGGAAATCGACCCCGCTGCCATGCCATGACACCAACACCGATGAGATTGAGAGGTTCTCCTTAAAGAGCTTGCTCGTTCAGAAGACACTCCTTGCAGACAAGAGCATACATGAAACGTTCGCCTCTGAAGCGAAAAGCTGAAGATGCAATGCATCTGCTGCTCATTATATACCAGCAGAGCAGCTGCTGCAAATCATTGCATGCCAATGTTCATTGGCTCGTTTAGTTACACTTGATTGGCTCTCTGGCGAGATTCCTATTGGTCGGTCATGACGTACGTCGAGAGTGCCCGACTGATAGGAAACATAATGAATGACTCTCTGAACTAGTTATTTTTTATGGAATCAAAAACGTAGTAAAATTTCCACCACAAATTACTCTTTTATAAATATTTTATTTTTTTCCTTCATTTCCTTTTGAGGGATTAATCTTTTTTTTTCTTCTTTTTTTAAATTTATATTTATTTATTTATTTTGTTTCTTTAATATTATTTTACTTTAATATTTGTATTAGAGGTTGTACATTGTCTCTTTATGCATGCATTAAATATGAAGAGTGATGGCGCCAATAATTTGTTACTAGAGTTCATGCTAGTAATTGAATAAAACAACAATTATTGGGTGTCACGTACTGCTAAATGCAGTTTATTTTGATTAATCCCGAATCGTAATCCAAAGTACAGGCAAGGTCAAACACAGGCAGACAGTCCAAACAAACAAACAGTCAGGGGACACAGGCAAAAAGGGGAATCCAAGGAACAGGCAAATATCAAAAACCAAGAACACGGGAACAACAGAGAGAATGCTCGGAATTGCAGTAGAAACACTAAACAAGACTTTGCAGGGAATGAATGAGAGTAAATAGGCTGAGACTGACAAGGTAATGAGACACAGGTGGATGCAATCAGGGATGATGAGTCCGGGCAGTGAGTTATGGGAAATGTAGTTTGTGAGGGAATGACAATAGTCTGATGTGGAGTGCCCTCTGGTGGCTCTCAAGGGTCCTCCAGCTGGTGACCGTTACAAATGGGTCAGAGGCCTGTTATTAGAAGGGCTCGGCATTTCCTAATTTTCTTTATATCTTTTGCCAGTAATTATGGGAAATGTAGTTTTTGGGACAATATTTGTTTGGGTCGTTTGTTAATTTGAATGTGTTGTGTAAAGTATATTTTTGTGTGTTTAAGTTTATTTTTATTATTGCTTTATGGTGAATGGGATTTCATATGTTCATGTAGTGAAGTTTGAATTGAGATTGTGTGAGACCCGTTATTATAAAATGGTTTGGTCTGTTTCGTTGAAAGGACTTCATTTTCTGTGGCTGAGTTAGTTCTGGTTATAGGGATCCCTGGAGAAATCATCTGAGATCCAGAACTCAGTAAGTTCCTGGTTACCCATTCATTAGTTACAGTGTCTTTTGTTTTGGTTCTTTTTCTTATTCTCTTCTTTTGCACCGTTTTGTAACCAGTACATTACAATGAATTTTGCAGTCAATAAAACAAGATTTTGATGGCTCTACGAATGTCTTCCGACATTTTGTGGAAGAACCTATACACACACATATATATATATACACTCACCTAAAGGATTATTAGGAACACCATACTAATACTGTGTTTGACCCCCTTTCACCTTCAGAACTGCCTTAATTCTACGTGGCATTGATTCAACAAGTGCTGAAAGCATTCTTTAGAAATGTTGGCCCATATTGATAGGATAGCATCTTGCAGTTGATGGAGATTTGTGGGATGCATATCCAGGGCATGAAGCTCCAGATCCACCACATCCCAAAGATGCTCTATTGGGTTGAGATCTGGTGACTGTGGGGGCCATTTTAGTACAGTGAACTCATTGTCATGTTCAAGAAACCAATTTGAAATGATTCGAGCTTTGTTACATGGTGCATTATCCTGCTGGAAGTAGCCATCAGAGGATGGGTACATGGTGGCCATAAAGGGATGGACATGGTCAGAAACAATGCTCAGGTAGGCCGTCGCATTTAAACGATGCCCAATTGGCACTAAGGAGCCTAAAGTGTGCCAAGAAAACATCCCCCACACCATTACACCACCACCACCAGCCTGCACAGTGGTAACAAGGCATGATGGATCCATGTTCTCATTCTGTTTACGCCAAATTCTGACTCTAACATCTGAATGTCTCAACAGAAATCGAGACTCATCAGACCAGGCAACATTTTTCCAGTCTTCAACTGTCCAATTTTGGTGAGCTCTTGTAAATTGTAGCCTCTTTTTACTATTTGTAGTGGAGATGAGTGGTACCTGGTGGGGTCTTCTGCTGTTGTAGCCCATCCGCCTCAAGGTTGTGCGTGTTGTGGCTTCACAAATGCTTTGCTGCATACCTCGGTTGTAACGAGTGGCTATTTCAGTCAAAGTTGCTCTTCTATCAGCTTGAATCAGTCGGCCCATTCTCCTCTGACCTCTAGCATCAACAAGGCATTTTCGCCCACAGGACTGCCGCATACTGGATGTTTTTCCCTTTTCACGCCATTCTTTGTAAACCCTAGAAATGGTTGTGCGTGAAAATCCCAGTAACTGAGCAGATTGTGAAATACTCAGACCGGCCCGTCTGGCACCAACAACCATGCCATGCTCAAAATTGCTTAAATCACCTTTCTTTCCCATTCTGACATTCAGTTTGGAGTTCAGGAGATTGTCTTGACCAGTACCACACCCCTAAATGCATTGAAGCAACTGCCATGTGACTGGTTGATTAGATAATTGCATTAATGAGAAATTGAACAGGTGTTCCTAATAATCCTTTAGGTGAGTGTATATATATATATATATATATATATGAAAAGAGTGTAAAAACACTGTTCTATATTTTTTTTTTAATTTTTATCTTAGCAAATGAATTTAAAGTCTTTTTGCAGTCTTTTTGTTTTTAGGAGCTTCTTGTTGGTGATTTAAATGGATAATTCACCCAAAAAGTGAAAAGCACAGAACAAGGGTCTATATGGTAGAGTAAAATATCAAATCTTTATTGTGCGGCCATTATCATATTCTGTCATGAATTAATAACATTTCATGTTGACTGAGAAGTCTTTCGCATTGATTCCCGAGCCAAAATCTACAACAATCTTCTTCCATAACAAATCATAATTACTGCGAAAATGTTTTCATTAAACATTCCAACGCAGGAACGCCTCACTGTCTACAAAGTAATGTACTCACATTAAATAATTGTTTCCTTATCACACTTGGGGAATGTGTCGAATTTTAATGAGATTTTTCCCACAGACTGTCTGTGGAAGTAGCTGTGAAATCCTACGATTGTAATCTCGCCTCACTCTTTACTGTGAGAGAAACGCATAAAGAGAGAGTGGGAGAGATAAGAACGAGGGGGAAAACAGGGTTTGGATAAGAATGCGAGCGCTGGAGATCGCTGGAAGCTCTAATTTAAGCCATGACCAAAGATGGTCAGATGAATTGAAGAGCAAGCATTAAGAAGTTCCCTTCCTTCCAGCACTGTGCTGTGAAAGTGCTAGAGAGAGAGAGAGAGAGGCTTTAGAGAGGATGTAGAGGGGGTAGGCGATAAGGTTATGGGAGAGATATTGCTTACTCGCTTATCTGTGACAAGTGTGCATGTCTTTGTGTTTGTGTATGTAGAGGAAGGAGGTTGCGGCAATCTTGGTTTCTTGTTACAGGCTGAACATCACCCGTGATTTGGGCTTTCTTCTCTTGTTCTCCCCTCATCATTGTCTGTTCCCCTGCCGTCAGGGATATTAACCCACCCAGCCTCCCACATCAAAACCATAACACTCCCCCCTCAAACCACAACCCTCTCTGACCCAGTTTTTTGGGGTAAAGGGCTATTGTGCGCTTTTGAGAGTCTCCCCCTCGCGCATTCTTCATTGCGACACATACTCATGTACACGCATATACAGTATGTGTGTGTAGGTCTCTTGTGTTGCTGTAAGGTCAGTTGTCTCTGATCTCCAAGACTGCTCTTCAAAAGAGAAGGATGCAGAAATGAGAAGAGGGAAAGCAGACAAGGAAAGGCACGAAAGACAGAATGTCGAGTATGTGTGAGTACAACTTTCACGGCGTGTGCTTGTGTAACTTAACAGGCGAATACATCAGTACTGTTTGACCTGACGTGACTTGAAGTCAGTATTTCTGTGAACAGGATGGGACTTGCCATGTGTCTCTCAGTAGATATGACATGTGTTGTATTATGTGCCACTGCTGTGAACCAGGGAATCCCAACCAGGGGATTCATTTAGCCTTTACAAACTAATAAAACAATATTATTAAAATTTCAGTTTTAATAATATTAGAGCTGTCAATGGGTAACAAATGTTTTTCTCTATTCATTTATATATTAATGAATGAATGAATGAATGAACTGTTCCTGTAAAAAATACTAATGAAAACGTTAAATGACATCCACAATATTAAAGGGATAGGAGCACATTTCTGGTTTAATGTTTGGGATTCATTTTGCTTTGCTAAACCTATAAAACAATGTTATTAAAAGTAAAGTTTAAATAATATTAGGACTGTGTGTGTCAACAAATTTAAAAAAGGTTTTTTTTTTTTGTTTTTTTTTATTCATTTATTTTTATGATATCCACTATATTATTAGGTAGTAGGAGCACATTTCTGGTTTAATTTTTGTTAAGGGGGTAATGCAGCTCTGGGGGTACATAAGACAAAAAAGGACACACTCCTGTAAATGAGATGGCAGACTGTGAGAGAGAGAGAGAGAGAGAGAGAGAGAGAGAGAGAGAGAGAGAGAGAGAGAGAGAGAGAGAGAGAGAGAGAGAGGGGAGGAGGGGGTGGATGGATGGATGATGAAGGGTATAGATTGGCTTTGACATGGGCACAGGGGCATTTTGCTGAATCTGAACACTGTCTGTCCCTGCCAAGGGGCAGGGCATTAGAACTGTGTGTGTGTGTGTGTGTGTGTGTGTGTGTGTGTGTGTGTGTGTGTGTGTGTGTGTGTGTGTGTGTGTGTGTGTGTGTGTGTGTGTGTGTGTGTGTGTGTGTGTGGATATAGAGACCCACAAGAGTAGAAGGGGACTCAGGTTTAATCAGTGAATAGTATTAACAATTATTGAAGGAATGCCTAAATGCATTCAGTACAAAATGTGTTGGGTTGTGCTGCATGAGCTTGTTCTCGGTTTAGAAAAATATATATACTAGTACTTTTCAGAGGTTTTGGGTGAGTAAGAATTTTAAGATGTTTTTAAAACAAGTCTCATGTGCTCACCAATTGATCATCAATTTGGTCATTTAGTTTATCAAAAATACAGTAAAAACAGAAATTTTGTAAAATAGTATTACAAATTAAAAGGACTGTTTTCTATTGTAATATATTTTCACACGTAATAAAAAAAAATTGATAGCAAAGCTGAATTTTCATCAGCCTACAGTTTTCAATGTTACGATCCATCAGAAATCATTCTATAGCTGATTTGCTGAATCATTTCTTATTATTATCAACGTTCAAAACAATTGTTCTGTTAATGGCTTCATATTTTTGTGGAAGCCATGATACTTTTTTAGGATTCTTTGATGAATAGAAAGTTCAAAAGGACAGCATTTATTTGAAATTGTAACAATGCAACAGTCTTTGTCACTTTTGATTTAATGCATCCTTGATGAATAAAAGTAAATTAAGTTAAGTAAGTTAATTTCTTACTGACCCAAACTTTTGAATGTTTTGAATGTTGTATATGGAAAATTATGAAAGGAGGATATCACAAAACTATTAGTTATGAGATATCCTATCTTAATGATGTTGTTAATTGTTTTGTTGTTGTTGTTGTTTTATATAAAATAATTATTATCCCTCATTAAGTAATGTTATTAGCATAACAAACAGATGCATGGCAAACAGATTCAATCATTTTTTTTAACTTGGCATGAAACCACAGAGGATGTCTTGTCCCTTGACATAAATATAACACAATACTAATGCTGAGTCGCAATTTATTTTGTACGAGCATGTCTAATACTGACATGGGAAATCATTTTATATTATTTAATTGTTGTTAGTTGACTCCCTGTGGCCACAGCCTTTGTGTGAGCAAGCGTACGTATGCCCGTTTGTGCTCAACAGTCACAGATACAAAACAAAGTCCTTTATTCCCTTTGGGAGTGAGGGCTATTTCAACCTTGAGAGACAGAGAGTGTGATAGAGAAAGAGAAACAAACAAGTGATGGTGAGATGATTGGGGCATTACAGCAACAGCAGTCATTCAAGGACAGATGCTTAAGAGTGACCAGTGGATATGTCTCGTGTTCTGTACGTCTTTTGTGTTTTCAGTATGTGTGTGTTCATTGTTTGTGTGCCTACATATGAGCCACATTCTAAGTCTTATGTTCCTTACCCCTAGTGCCTCTACCAGCATAGTGAGATGCAGATTAAAGGTGAAGGGCTAGTACACATCAGCGCATGCCCACCGCTGAGGTCCTCTTCTGGGCAGGAGGAACAGGGAAGCCCTGGACCCTCTGGTTCTGTTGAACCATGTCAGGTCCTGTTTTCAAAGTGACCTGTGAAAAGAAATAAATTAGTCTATTCTCTTTTCTCTCTGTCTCTTTCTCTTTCTCGTTCTCAAACATATACTGTGTACTGTATACTTGGATTTATACTAAGATATTTTATGAGATATTATAATATTACATGTCTCCCTTGTGTTTGACTGCTCAGATGCGACCTTATATGGTCATAACAATCAATACCTCATATATGCTTTATTGGATGGAGAAATCCAAACATTCATTAAAAAAAAAAGCAAAACAAGAACATGCAGAGACAAACCAGAGAGGTCACACACTCACCCGCTCACCACAGCTGTTCTCCCTCAGGGAAGATTTGTGTGGTTCAGGCTCACTGCTCAAGGTAATTGTGTCTGCGTATGTGTGTGTGAAAGAGAGAGTTCCGTTCATTGAGTCTATTAACACTAGGTTGACCTTTTATCAAGCAATATATCTAGCAGAATCCACAATGGACTATATGGATGAACTATGTATTGGTACAATATTGGTTTTTGCCTGTTGTCGTTTTTATTTTTCAGTTTTGATTAAATTATTGGATATTTAATAGTGCTAATTTCCTCTATTTTTTTCATTTAGATAACATTTTCCTTCATCTAACGTTCACTAGAAATTAATATACTTATAAAAACACTTATAATTTAATAACACTGTTAAATCTAATCTATTAAATATAATAAATATCTTTTTTTTTTTAAACATTTTTTAGACAAATAGTATAATTTTAATAAAGGCCTTTTTTTTGGTTTTCAGCCATAACATGAAAATAATTATAGCCACATCCTTGACATAAGTGCTGTTTGATTTCACATATTATAATGAAGTTTGCATAAAACTTTATACTTAAAAAATAAAAAATACAATCTAAGTTTTAGACTATTTTTACTTTGATTTATAGTATTCTAATTATGCAAATACAAATATCTACTTCAATAATGAAAGACCTGAATATCCAAAACACTGTCAATAACATCAAATCATGAATAAAATATGACAATGGTTGTATTATTTTGCGTTCAGCTCGTATAACGCTAAATAACCCTGCATTTTGGTCTGGTTTCTAAAAAAAAAGATTCACTTTTCATTAATATGCACTTATATTTGAAACTCTCTGTGTTTGTTCACAGAGTCTGTGAGCTGTGCAGTGTGGGACGCTGTCTGCCCCGTTGTCATCAGACGTCATGAGCTGGAGCTTCCTGACGCGTCTGCTGGAGGAGATCCAGCACCACTCCACGTCGGTGGGGAAACTCTGGCTCACTACGCTAGTTGTCTTCCGCATTGTGCTGACTGCAGTGGGCGGTGAATCCATATACTACGATGAGCAAAGCAAGTTTGTCTGTAACTCGGGCCAGCCGGGATGTGAGAACGTCTGCTACGATGCTTTCGCACCACTCTCGCACGTGCGATTCTGGGTTTTTCAGATCATCCTCTCCGCCATGCCCTCTCTGCTCTACATGGGCTACGCTGCCAATAAGATCTCCCACAACGAGAACTTGCGGGGTGGCACAGGGGCCGGTGATCCAGCTGCAGATGACTCGGCAGGGGGCGGATACACCCAGCGTAGACCAAGAAAGATGTACTTCGGGGCACGGCAGCATCGATCAGGACACGAGGATGGGGAAGAACAACGTGAAGACGACCCCATGATTTACGAAGTGCCTGAGATAAACAACACACGTCGGGAATTGGTGCCACCACGACCCAAACCCAAAGTGCGTCACGACGGGCGTCGGCGTATCCGAGATGACGGCCTGATGCAAGTATATGTGTTACAGCTTCTGACGCGTTCTGCACTGGAGGCTGGCTTTCTGGCGGGACAGTACCTGTTGTACGGTTTTCGTGTGGAACCGATCTTTGTGTGCTCGGATAAGCCCTGCCCGCACCATGTGGACTGCTTCATCTCACGCCCCACCGAAAAGACCATCTTCCTACGAATCATGTACGGCGTCAGCTGCCTTTGCCTGCTGCTAAACCTGTGGGAAATGATTCATCTCGGAGTTGGAACCATCGGTGATGTACTGCGCAAGCGAAACGCAGCATCTACTGATGATGAGTACCAGCTTGGCCTTCTTGCGACGGGTGGCGTGTCCGTCGGAGTAGGCGGGCCTTCGCTCAGCGAGGGGGAACCTGGAGGTGGGGGTGGGGGTGGTGCTAGAGAAGCGGACTATGTTGGTTATCCCTTTTCCTGGAACACCCCTTCTGCGCCACCAGGCTACAACATTGTGGTGAAGCCCGAGACGATGCCGTACACAGACCTGAGCAATGCCAAGATGGCGTGCAAGCAGAACCGTGCCAACATTGCACAGGAAGAGCAGCAGCAGTATGGGTCCAATGAGGACAACTTCCCATCTGCAGGTGAGGCACGGCCGCCACCCATCAACAAAGACGTGATACAGTTAGAGGCGGCGATTCAAGCCTATACCTTGCAACACAATGCTAGCAATAACCACGACGAGCTCAACGACACTAATGACATCGATGAGAAGCCTCAGAGTAACATCACCACAGTACCTCAGAAGGAGCGAAAGCAACGGTCCAAGCATGGGAAATCTGGGAGCGCTGGGAGTAGCAGCAGCAGCAGCAAGTCAGGAGAAGGCAAACCATCTGTCTGGATCTGACATTTGCACTCACACCTGAACATTACACTCAGTGGGCAACCTCTTATCCATTTTTACACATTCTAGACACAAAATATTGTGTGTATCCCACAGATTACAAAGACTGCACATTCGCAATTGGAACATATGGTGTATATATATTTTTAAATGCTTTCAGTGCCTTAAAGGAACTTGATCTTCCTAAAATAATCTTGTGTTCTCAAGATTATGTTTAACTCTAAGAACATTCCCTCATAATCCTGAAAAAACTCATCCGTTTTCAAAGTTTGGAACTATTCATTGAGTCACCCAGTGAGAGAAAGTCTTCCTATCGCATCCCTTCGGAAGAGTGATGACACTACAATCCGATTCCAAGCCAGCAGCTGTCTTCTTATTTCCAGTGTTAAACAATAACTTTTACATTACAATGCTATAACAATGCAATGATGCACCAATATAATAGTGGTACTCTGTGGTCTTCAAGACCCAACAAAACAGTCCTGTGAAATAAGCTGATAAACTGTAATCTACATTAACAAACACACAAACACATTCAGTGCAATTTTTGGTCACACTCAGAGCTATGGGTGTTAGAAGCATCAGTGCAATGTCTTTTAGTTCTTGAAATTCTAGATCTCTGTAGCCACCAAGACTTGGGATATTTAGTTGATGGATCCTTATCCTACTCTGTTCTTGTACTATCCCCTACTGGTGAAGAAAGCAGTTGCAGTCTACTCTTATCAGCCATATAAATATATACAGGGTTCCCACAGTCCTAGAAAACCTGGAAATAACAAGTTATTTTAAAAGTGTGATTTCCAGGCCTGAAAAAAAAATCATGGAAATTAATTTTTAAAACTTAAAAGGAATAGAAAATTAGCAAGAAATTAATTTCAGTGCTTGTTTTTTTATTTTATTTTTATTTATTTTTTTATCTGTATGCAGTAATTGAATATTAAATGGAAACATTAAGGAAAAATGTCATGGATATTCATTGGTCATAAAGTGTGGGAACCCTGTACATTTAGTTGCATATGAAAATAATTTTTCATTAAGATTGACTTGACAGAAGCTCACTGTGTATTGTTGCTATTGCTCTAGTGGACATGTATTTGTGGGAACTTCCTCTGGGTCTAAGAGACTTGATATAGCAGATCCAAGTAGCAGGTCTAACTTGGTCCAAATGGAGGTTGAGAGTTTAACAGTGCAATGTAGATATCCAAGTTGAGTCTTCCATTTTCTCTCATACTGCCACATTCCAACTTGCGAGACTTTTGCCTTTATGTGGGATGTTTCAATTTGTGACGATTGCCATGGGAGACCAAATACTGTTTGTCACAATAAAGACATCAAGCTACTATGCAGTCATGCGGACTGAGGAAAACACGCCATAGAACACCATTGTGTGTGCCTGCGTGTGTGCGCGCTTGCAAGTAGCTGAGGATGAGAAGGTGGGGGAGTGATTGCATGAGTGCATGTGAGAAATTTTTGATTAACGAATTAAAGAAATAAAAGATAATCCCTTTACATATCAGTATTTCAGCAGTATTTATTGATGCTGAAGATTGTGGCATTAGATTTCTGGTTTCTAAGCGAGACTTGACTTGTTTGTATTTTTAAACATCAATTAGGTTTCTTTTTTTATTAGCTTTTTTAATACATGGAACTCAGCAGTGCCCATATGATTTGATTATTACAAAATACGTTTTGTAGGATGTTTATTTTGTTGCCTTTTCTTGTAACAAAAACAAAAAATTTGATGTATGTCCTTTGTAGTCAGCCAGTTTGCTCCGTGAATCCTTTTGTCATAGTCATAATCGATCCCTTCAAATATCATTTTGCATGGGAGGGAAAATAGGAATGTTTTAGGGGAAATTCCATAGCACTCTTTCCAATGGAAAACTCTACACAAAAAGGATTCTTCAGTGTAACTACTTTGACCTTTTATGTATGGGTGCGTGTTGGAGTGTCTAGCAGCTGTATATTCGAGTGCTCCAGATGGAGTGAGTATAAGAGACCCCTCTGTCCCACATCTGAGCACCACTGCGTGTGTTTACGTTTGTGTTTTTTAATGTGTGTGTGGAGTTGGAGTTAGCCAAGGTAATCCTCAAGAAAAACCTATCTCGTACTTTTGTCAGCTGTCTGAGAAAGAGAAACTGAAGTAGTAAGCTTCTTTACTTCAGAGTTTGACACATCGCTTTGAAAGCAAGTCTTCTCAGCTGGTGTCAATGGAGTATGGTGGCATTCTTCTTACAGATGAGTATGTGTGAGTGTGAAAGCATGCGTTTCATTTTATTGTCCTTTCCTGGTTATCATCAAGCCAGTAATGTGTTTGATAAGACCTTTGTTTGTCCTGACTGGTGTGTGATTCTATAAATGTTGTCACTGTGTTTGAAAATGAGGGAGAAAAAATGCATTTAATGTGCCAAGCTGGATTGTTCAGCGATTTCCAATTTTTGAAAACCCTCTCTTTGGATTTTGAAATGCATGTTCAGAGCTATTTTGTTAATAAAATGAAATGAATGGGAATTGTGTGCGTGTCTGAGAGCAAATATGTGCATTTAGCATTAAAGGCACCCGTGTCAATGGAATATTTTTTATGGTTCGTGAAGGGGTCAGCCTATTATTCATCCCTATCTTTGGCAGATGATGTATTTGTGCGGGGGCGAGGCACGTTTGTCGCTCTAACTCATGTCCAGAACATCAACTGTTTCTTCGTATTTGTCAAAGCAGGTTTCTCTCAGAATGGATTCCATAAGGCATCAGATTGGCCTGTGAACCATTAACAGATCGGGGCGGGGGGGGGGGGGAATGAGGTTCCCAATGGGAATGTCTTTCCCTTAAAAGGGTGTAACACAGATGCAGAAAAACCCTCTCGCTAGGCCAACATGAGCGGAATCCCCTGAGTGTGTGCGGAACAGCTTGCGGAACGTTTAGAACAACAAAAGTGTACTCCCTGGACATCCATCCATCCATTCCACAAACCACTATCCTCTGTAGGGCCGTGGGACTTCCCAACCAATTGACTGCAAATTCAAAATAACTGTCACAGTTGTCTGCCTTCATGTTTTATTATTATTAGTAAAACGTTTGAATTTGGACTCCTTCTCTTCTTCTGCCTGCACCACACCATGACAATAACATAGCAAGCATCAAGAAGAGAGATAATATTGGAAGGAGACAGATTACCCTTGCTCTAACAGTAACATTTACACACCAGATGTGCAGCAGCAGGTTTTCCATAGTTTCCATAGACAGTCAGCGATTTAAAACAGTGAGAATCTAGGCCCTACTTGAGTCGGCCAAAGCATCATTTACAACCCGAATAAATGAATTGTAAATTAAATGTTTACATTAAATGAAAAATATTTTGAAATTCATGGCAGCGCTGCGCAGTGAGAGGTCTTGAGGGGTCAGGACACAGATCCAAATATTAAAGGGATAGTTTGCCCAAAAATTACTTTCTTCTGTGAAACACAAAAAGTTTAAAAAGTGTTGTTTTGGACTCCATTGACTTTCATTGTATAGACAACGTTCTTCATGCAATATTCTTTTGTGTTCCACAGAATAAAGAATGTCATACAGGTTTGGAAAGACGAGGAGGAGTATAACAATATTTTCATTTTCAGATAAACTATCACTTTAAACATTTTGTTAATGATTATTTTTGTTTGTTTTGTGCATAATGTGCGTTTACATGTATTCATTTAACAAATAAGGAAAACCAAGAGATTTATCAGCAACCAACAGTATATAGTAGTTTAGTACTGCTTGTTTTCATGAAAACATAGTTCATTGTCTTTTGAGCCAGCATCACATTAAATTGAACTGATTGAATTGCCACTCTCATTTCCTTCAAAAACAGATGTAGATCAATAATAGTGCCAGCCTTTTCAAGAGAATGGACTTTATAGTTTGATTGTATAGTTATAAGGGAGTGGCTTACCGATAGGTCAATTCAGCACACTGTGCTCAAGGAGGGCGCTACTCCTGGACCAAGGCAGTGCAAAACCAACCTGAATGGAGGGCTGATCTATAGAGATAAGGCTAAAGACCATACCAACAACCTCCAGCGGCTAAAAGAACGTCGCCTGGAATCCAACCAACAAACATGAACTTTATGCTAGCAAATATTTGTCTATGGCCTATTGTCAGCTGGATTGTCTTTTGCAACAGAAGCATGTCAAACATTGTCGCTTGTGACAGAAGCTCATGCACTATATGATGTTCTTGTAAGTCACAGCTTTGAGTGACAAACAGACATTTAAGGTGTTCACTTAAACCTTTCCCACCAGTGAGCTTTTAAAGGGACCACTGGCAAAATGTGCTTTAAATAAAACTTGGCTGCCTATACAGTAGAAAGGTGGATTTTTTTTAAATCTTGCTATACCTGACTAGAGAAAACAGAGAAAAGAGGCTGTTGTCTTCCCTTTTGCCAAATAGGTATAGGAAAACTTATAATGCAATATAAAAACCCATAATGCACTGGGCATGTTGCCATCCAAGGCAACTCCCACCAGTTATGTTATAGATACGCTTAAGGCTGATTTATACTTCTGCGTCGGACCTACGCATGAGCCTCTACGCTATAGACTACGCGTTGGTTTTTATTTATACTTCTGCGCCGTTGTCCGCGTTGACGCGCAATTACACATGCAGAGGGAGCATGTAAAAGCTGGGGAGCGGTTCTAGCAGACCAATCACAGCGCTTGCGGTACGCGTAGGTAGAATTGACGCGTTGTTACATTTTTGGAGAGGTGCACGTCAGGGTACGCACGCTACACACAGCCTACGACGTAGCTACGGCGTGAGTTCGACGCAGAAGCATAAATTGGGCTTTAAAGTCAAACACTGCCTTGCTTTAGTAGGAAATACTTCTTAGCTAACTTTTAGTCATAATAATGTCGACTACAGGTTTTATGCCGAGCGTCACATGAACAAACAGGAAAACAAGTCTAATTGTATCTGCTTGTCAGAGAAAGTGTTTACAGCAGTATGAACTGATGGTGATATCAATGGACTTTTGAGGTAATCAGCAAACTGCTATATAACTCGGCAACATATAGAGAACCAGCATTTAGTCCCGCAATGAACACCTGTGTAGGCACTACTGCAGCATACCAGACTTTACGACCTATTTGAAACCAGTCGCTGAAGAGGTTTGTGGCCACAAGGTCCTTCAGCCATCCAATGATGGTTCATGTGTCACCTGTTGCACAGACACATGCGGTGAAAAGAAGGGATCACAAGGTTATACAATCGAGCAAAGGTATTTTACGAAGACCATCCCGCTGCTAAACAAATGTCCTAAATATGCATACCTTTAGACCAAGCCCAAGACACAGCCAATCCCTAGTGGAGTGGGCATGAACACCTATAGGGCAGTCCGCTTCCTTGGAGACATAAGCCAGGCGTATCGCTTCCACTGTCCAGTGTGAAAGCCTCTGCTCCAAAGCCTCCAAAGTAGGCTAAAATGTTCTGTCCACATGCAGCACACGGACAGGGCACAGAAAACACTTGTCAGATCATTCGCCAAAGGTCATGTCAGGAGAATCAAATGCTTTAAGTGTTATCACCTGAGCTCTGAATGGTGTTGAGAGCACTTTAAGTGCATAACCACGTCTAGGTGTGAGTCTTACTATACAGTCATTTGCCTCGAACTCCATGCAAGCAGCGTTAATAGAAAGAGCTTACAGATCCCCAACTCGCTTCCCACATGCTAACATGAGCAGCAGCACCGTCTTAGACGAGAGCACTCTTAACTCACTCACATGAAGCTGCTCAAAGGCCGGGCTTGACAGCACTCTGAGCACTAAA